TAAACCCTATAGATTTTTTTATTTGGGGATTCTACAAAAAGATGGTGTATGCTAGAAAAATTAATTCGGAAAATGAATTAAGGGAAAAATTGAGACAGTGCGCAGAAAAAATCAAAGAAAATACGAATGCTTTTCGAAGACTAAAAGCAAATTTTTTAAGACGATGTAGACTGTGTATCGAAGTTAATTGCCGCCATTTCGAAAATTTACTTTAAATAAATTTATCTTAAATTATTTACTACTTTTATTATGAATCTTGAAATCATTTGTCCAGAACGTAGTAAAATGATACCTTGTTGTCTATAAATTTTAAACAATAAGTAAAGTCACTTGATGTTATTTTTGCTAACCTGAAGCATTTACTATCTTAGTTTAGCCCTAGAAATGATAAAAGATTTTTTAAATCAAATTAACTATTCAGGTAGTTTCCTGCCTGAGTGACTTCAGAAGTCTGTAACAGAAAAACTGGCTTATTAAGTGTCATTTTTTTAATGTTATTATGAAAGATTAAGGTACTGCCAAGTTTATAAAATTAATTAGAAAGTATGAAATCACTTATTACTATTTTTCATTTAATGTTGAAAATTCAAGCCCCACTCTCCTGACAGAAATTTTTTAAGTTTCGTTTAAAATTATTGTATCTTCGGTGAATGTTAGGAAGCTAATTATTTTATGCATAATAGGGCAACTCATAAGGATCATGCTACAAATAAAAAAACTTGGAAAAAATTTCACAATTAAATTTTTTTAATGTTAAGCTGTTTAGGGTGAATATTTTCAAAAAAGGGTAAAAAAAATCATAACTCGAAAACTACAAAAAATCGCGTAACATACATAGGGTATTTTCGGATACCCCTATGTGTGTCAAAAAAAATTATAACCTCACTGTTTGGACCATCCTGTATATTACTAGCGTAGTGCAAAAGGAGACGGTCCGAAATTGTATGAAGCGTAGGCTTGGTTTTGTACAAGTACGGAAATAAATTAAAATATTATATTATACCACTTTTGGTCATTCAAATCCACGAATTTGTCTTTATTTCTGTGGTATTAATATTTAATTTTACCAAAAACTGCAACACTAACGGCGAATTGATGTTGTTTTGACGTTAGCTGTCAACTGTCATGAGGTTATTGTTCAATTTATTGACAGATATTTGAATTCTGAAATGCTGTATTATTCTTATCATTGATAGCCTATCTGGTAGATTTATTATGTACAATAGCTAAAATGTCTAGAAACTTAGGGATGTGCTATTTTGGTCTTAGAACAAGTAACGTTCTTGTTGATATTTGCATATCAATATTAAAGCAATCAAGGAGTTCGGAATAAACAAAAAATATCACACTACCTACATAATTTAATGACTCAAGTCGTTTATCAGACATGACATTTGACATATAATTTTATAACTGGAAGGGCGCCATCTTGTAAAATCATCAAAAATTGGGATTGCATTTTTATTTTTAGCAAGTTATTTAGTTCAATTTATTATCTTATTTTATTTTTAATGAAATCCCTGAATTTTTCGCTTTTTTACGGCATGGGTTATATACATATACTGAGCCTGAAATGGATTGTCTCCTTTCATCCAAATCCATACAGTAACGTGAAACCGCAACAAACAAACTTTCACATTTATAATATTACTACACGGGTCCAATATACATGTTGTAAAAAAAGTAAAGTTACAGCCTATATACGTCCCACTGCTGGGCACAGGCCTCCTCTCATTTCTGAGAGGGTATTAGGGCAAGAAAGTGTCCGCCACGCCACCCCAATGCGTGTTGGCGAACTTCACATGTGTTCTAAATTTTTTCTTATTTCTCAGACATGCAGGTTTCCTCACGATGTTTTCCTTCTCCGCCGAGCACGTGGTACATCAGCACTTAAAATTGCAATTAACAATTTCATTGGTGCCGGCGGGGATCGAACTCGGTTTGCTCGCGTACTGTGAAATTTACAGCGAGCGCTAACCATCTGAGCTACCACGGCTCTCTATACATGTTGTGGTGCCATTTAATGTTTAAAAACATTTGGATCGATTTAGTTTGTCGCTTTGGTATTGATAATGCATTGTTACGAAAAATGCGTTAAGTAAGAAAATATCTTATCGTGTATTATGGTGAAACATTTATCTACAACTTTCAAATTTAATAAATTTGGGTAATTTTAGCTGTTAATATTAGTTTTATCATTACTGACAGTTATTATAGTAGATATACAATGTTTACACCTGACTTTTCATTATTTTTATTTCATTATACAATTTTGTTTGAAATTAACGGGCTACTTATCGGTGTTCATGAGAAAAACAAAAGAAGTAAGTAAGGGGTTGTTTTGTAAAATCGAAAACTACGTATTCAATCATTTTATCAACAGTACCTACACTGTTGATAAAATGAATGACTGATGAAGTTACTAGTCAATCGCCCATAAAATTAAAAGTGTTGTACAAACTGTAACAGCTTATTTCATACTCTGGGATTAAAATTTTTAAAAGTTCCTTATATGCCTACGTAATAAAATGAAGCTATATTTTTCACGATTTCATGCTTCTTACGTTGGGCGGTTTGAGCTGTCCGTCATATCAATATTTTTCATACATACAACACCGATCTGTGGGTCATCGTCAGTATTAACACTAACAACACTATTTATAAAATTGCTTTGGGTTCTGCCTATCTTCCCCACCGGTCAATTTAGATTTACTTTCAAAATTTTTAGATAATAGTAGTAGTAGTATCTTAAATTATGTAGATGATGTCATAATAGTAGGTGATTTCATCCTAGGTCATATCTCCAGTCAAAGATTTTGTAAGTCTATGAAGCCTAACAATTATATACACAAAAGCTTGGGATGCGCTTTAATAGATTTCCTTTGCGCAAATAGCTTCTTTCAATTCAATAATTTAAGTTACTGTGATAATTGAATATTGGATTTGGCGTAAAGTATAGTTAAGAATCCTCGCGTTAGCAAACCCCTGGATCTCATTAGCAAATTAGATCCGAAACTCCCTAATTTATTGTTCAGTTTACCCCATACTAACTTAAATTATTTACAAAACAAAACCCACACTTATTTTATCTACTTTAAAGCTTATTACCAAAATATTTACTCCAAATTAAGCTTAATCGACTGGGATTAAAAGTTTAGCAAATTTGTTGACGTTGATGAAAAGGTCCAAATTTTTTACCACACATTGTATAACATTCAAGAAAGTGAACCTAAACGCATACTACATAATATGTAGACAATATTTCGTCTCGTCATCCTTCGTTGTTCATTACAATGTTAATAAGGCTTAAGATCTGAGCAAGACAAACTTAGGCGGAGATGCCATAAATATAAGAACTCCAGAGATAAGCTAGAGTATGATATAGTTCATAATCGCTGTCATAAACTATTACAAAAATGTTGCAGAGGATATAGAGCTAACTTGGAACATAATATTTTTTAAAACCCAAAAGAATTTTGGTGATTTCTGAAGGAAAGGTGAAAGAGAAACTCTGAATTATGTACTTGCTCAGATGTTTCTTGATGATGATAGCGCAACGATCGGGCCGGAAATAGCAAGCCTGGTGGCAAAACAATTTTCCTCAGTCTATACAAAGACACCTATAACTCCTAAATTCTTGACATTTACTGGGCATAACACAATCGGAACTCTCAGTCATCTTTCTGTTTCAAGAGAGATCCTGACAGACCCTGCAGGCCATCCCTGGAACTTCCCGCTAATTTCAGATGCAAATTTCACCAAATTATGACGTTGAATATGAAATATCGGAGTAATTTAAAAAAAAAATTTTCAAAATTTTTCTTTAATATAAAACGAATACCACCCTAGTTTTTCAAGGTTAAAAGCTGATTCGTTTTTGGAATCGAACGGTAAAGCCGTTTAAAAGTTATTTCAAAAAACAGTTTTTGAAATGTTTATTTATGAGATTTCTCAAAATCAACCGGTCCGAATTAGTTAAAATTCATAGGAAATCTAAGTTAGATGAAACATTTTGGCAATCCGCTTAGTTCATTTGAATCGGCAAGCCGTTCAAAAGTTATAAGAGGTTTACATACATCCACACACACACACGTACATACAGACATACAGATACCATCGAAAAATTATCGAGGTGGCTTCATATGATCCCAAAACGTCAAGATTTGATGAAAACTCAATTTTAGAAAAATGGGGTAAAACAATAATTCCCGATTTTTGAAAATCTTCAATTTTATTAGCGGGAAGTTAAAATATCAAAAATCTCGATTTTATTAAGAATTATATTATATTATATTGACGACTCCGTGGCGCAGTGTCTTAGCAATGAGTGGCTGCGCTGGGGGTCGCGAGTTCGAATCCCGCACGGAACAAGTATTTGTATGGCCTACAAATAGTTGTTCCGGGTCTGGATGTTTGTCTTTGTGCAATTTATGTTTGTAAACTGCCCCACGATACAAGAGAAAATCGTAGTGTAGGGGTAACGTTTTTAAAAAAAAAAAGAAAAAAAAATTGTGTTGCATGTATTGCCTACCCGTTAATTTTAATTTTTAATTTTTCTTTATTAGTGAGCAAATTCCCTACAATGTGGAAAAATGCTCGGCTCATACCAATACATAAAAAGGTCTCTTTCAAAATTGTTTGAGGTAACTGTGTGTCCATACCTAACTCATCACATTGAAGACAATTTAAGTGATTTTCAACATGGTTTTCGAATGCGCCGTTCTACGGAAACGAACCTTATCTCATTCATTTCGCAGATATCACGCGAAGTTGAAAAAGGACGCCAAGTGGACGTCATTTTAACTTCAAGTTTCAAACTTAAAGCCACAGGAATTTATGGGTCTTTTCTTGCCTGGCTCACTTCATACCTAGAGAAAAGAACACAGTTATTGGCGATAGGGTGTTATGAATCGCAAACGTACTTTGCAAAATCTGGCGTACCTAAGGGTTCCCACCTGGGATCAATATTGTTTTCGCTCTTTATCAATATTGTCGCGAGTATGCTAAAGGTCAGCTACGTTTACTTGTTTGCGGACTACTCTCGAGAGTTATATCAACTAATTGGACTCATTACTCCTACAAGACAATCTTGACTGATTGTAGGAATGGTGTAAGGCAAACCATATGACGTGGAATCGCAAAAAATGTTACTACATCAAGTTTGCTAAGAAAAAGAAGCCTTGTACTACTTTCTACAGACTTAAAGGTACTATGCTCACAGAAGTAGGTGAAATGAGAAATTTAGGTGTTATGTTATACATGACGCTAACCTAAGTTCCTCTTATTAATAGGATTATGAATAAAGCTACGCAGATACTGGGTTTCATAAAACGCAATACCAGAGGCTTCCAAATCAACACTAAAATCTTACTCTTTAACACCCTAGTAAGGAGTCAACTAGAATATGCGAGTACAATATGGAACTCAACATACACAGTGCACTCGCATAGAATAGAAGGTATTCAGAGAGCTTTTACAAGACATCTTGCCTTCATATTGTAACGCTTCCCCCCTCTCATAATAAAAAATATGTATGATATTAAATATATAATATATATTTGTGACCAGGATTAACCCTTCGTTGCATAGTGATGGATATTTCCATCAAACCATTCAATAGGAAAAAATGCACCGAAAACCGGATGCTGGACAAGATTATTTTGTCTCTGGCAACTTTTTGAAACACGTTTGAACGAAACGGAACGCACCTAGTAAAAAAAAGCAAACGTCAACTGTCAAACGTCATTCAAAATTTGGTAAGCTCAAGTTCGTTGGTTTCATTGTAACGGTGCATAAAATTATCAAGTTCTTTAAAGGTTTTGCCTATAGAAGTCGGAGAAAAAATTCATAATGCATAGAAGAAGTAGGGTAAGTATAGTGGAAACTGCTAATATTTGTGAAAAAAAAAACATGTAAATAGTAACTAAAATAATGCGAAATAGGTATGGTGTAAATTTACATCATTATGCAGTATTGTCATCCTAGAAGTATGAAGAAATTTAGGTTCATGTAATTTCACTTTGTTTATGTATTTTTTGGCTGTTTCAGAATATTATCAATGATAAAGACATAGAACACTATCTAGCACAGCTGGAAGATGGTTGGCTGTCGGAAGATGGACTAGAGGCAGAAGATTCTGAAGATGACGACCCAGCAAATCCCCATTATACTAGGGATGAACTTCTAAGTCTATATGATAACAATGGTGATGAAGACAGTCAGGAAAAAAATGAAAATGTTCCTCCTCGTGTTGAAGAACTGGTGGAAGAAGGAGAAAGTCAAAACAGAGTTCCTTGTGGTGATACTTTCAATACATTATTGGACAAAAGAAAACTTATGTGGAAAACTTTGATGAGGATCGAATTACTTTCTTAGGCAGCTCAGCTTTTCCATCAGAAATATCACAGCTTGAAACTCCTTACCAATGTTTCAAATATTTTTTGATGATGATTTTATTTAAGAAATTGTTACTCAAACTAATTTGTATGTCATGCAGAAAGATCTTAGCAACAAAATAATTTATACATCATCAGATACCAAAAAATTTTTTGGGATATTATTATTCATGTCAAATACCCAAACTGTAAAGGATACTCCACAATCAGCTGCAACAAATGTAGGGTTGACTTATGTTTTAATAAAAACAAGAATTGTTTTCTTAATTTTCATCAAAATTGAAATTATTAATTACTTTGCATATTACTAAATTCTGAATTCTAAATTCCTGGAGTTAATAGTTTAGATTGCGACAAGATCTTTTTGAAGACCATAATCGATGTTCACCATCTTTGCTACATCAGAATAACTCATTGTGGCCTTTAACTACTACAGAGGTAAAAAGACGTTCAGTTGATTACAGCTTATCGGATTCTGATCTTGCAAATTCAAACTTACCAACAGGACTAAGCAAGTCTGACGCAACAATAAGGCAACCGATAATTTACAGCTCCGAATCTGATACATCTATTACGAAGTACTTGTTCCACGGCAAAACTTATACCTCAGTTTATCCATGACATATACAGTTCTTCCGGTGATGAAAATAAGGACCCTATTTTTTTATTATGTGCGAGCAGCTATGCAGGTCTAGGGAGGAGACCGGTATCACTGCGACCTAGAAGATCTATTGTGATCGCTGCTATGGCTAGAGTACACAGTTAAGCCTTCAATGAATAGAAGAAGTTGCTTAGCTGTAAGCAATTTCACTTCTTCTGGGCGGAGTATATAGTTTCCCAGATGAGTGTTACGTTTGCGCGTTAAGGGTCCGCAATCAGTTAGGATGTGCGTTTCTTTCGTTATGGAATAGAACCGACACATCCTTGAGTTACTTGAGCCCTATATCAAGATCAAAAACATACTTCCAAGAAACAGAGAACGTGTAACTACATCTATAACATAAATAATGTCCTCAAGACCGAATTTCGGTCACGGCGGCCAGTCTCAACCGAGACTAGCAATCGGCGCAGGACAGGATTATAGTGCCCAAATGTATGCGCAAGCAGAGGTGCACTCTCTATTCTTTTACTCTCATAATCCAATGAGACGGTAAACCGACACGACCGGAGAAAGGTCAGGCACAGGACCAACGGCTTTACGTGCTTTCCGAGGCACGGGGATGAGACACCATCAACTTCCTGACTCCGGGCAGCTACTGAGAATTTCTTGACGGAAAAATTCAATAATTGACTTTTTGGCCCGACCCGGGATATGAACCCAGGACCTCATGCTCAACAGTCGCACTACTACAACTACTAGATTAATTATAAAGACGTTAAGTTTCCTTTTCAACAGTTACTTCCAACACTGAATTTTGCTGTGGTGAACCAAAAGAAGCCCAAATGTTATACAATCAATTATAAAGGTCCAGATAGTGACTAAAGATACGTTTGCAGAAAGCGTTAATAAAAAAGTAAATAATACAAAACAACAACGTAAGAAAAGAACAGATGATGAACAGCCATATGCAAAAACAAATAAAAAAACAACAGCCAAAGAAGAAGAATGTTTTAAAAAATCACGACAAGTCAAGAGAAATAAAAAAAGGCAATAAAATAGTTAGGAAACAAGACAATAAAGCAAAAAATAAATGATTTCAGTCAAATAGATGCTACTGATAAATGGTACTGTCACGCTTGTAACTCGAAGAAGAAAAACTCGAAGACTTGCAACAGTACGTCCTACGAAGAATGTGTGGGACTGACAAAAGAGGATATTAATTTTTTAATGTCCTATGTGCAATTAGTTGACCAAAGCTGAAAAATTTATTAAAAAGCTATCTAGTTTTTTGTAGTGTCAGTTAAGACTTATGTGCTATTTGTTATAATAGTTATGCATCAACGTTCCGGGAAGTCTGCAGTTTGTGATCATATCCTTGGCAGCCCCAACCATTACATCAGATTTGATAAAGAACATCGATTCCTACCAAGGACTATTGAAATTAAAAAAAACATCTTAATTTTAATAAAGTGGAAAAAAGGAGGCTGAATACTATCACCTGCTTGGGACATTGTAATTAATAAAATTAAAACTAAACCCAAGCATACCACTGCAAGACTTCAAGACACAGTTAGTTCATTATGCGTAGATCCGACCATAAATAATAATTAAAAAGCTGATGAAAGCGGAGTACGTACTCCGGGTTGACATTGACATCGGGACGTCAGTCACCTCAGTCGTCCGTGACCATGGGTGCTGGAAAGCACCCGAAACGTCGGGAATTAGAATTAATTTAAATTAAACGCGATAAAATTTATAAAAGTAGTTTTAATCGATGAATAACTGCCTTTTTTAAACGTACCCATTCACTAAGAAAGAATTTAAAAAAATTCAACCTCTAAGTTGGTGCAATAGGGTGTTACAGTTCGTATGAAGCTTTTTATTTTGCGTGACGATTGACTTGAAACTTATTAAAGGTATTCTGTATATGAAATAAATGCATTCGGATTTAGCGACTTACGAATACAAACCATTACGGAGAAACCAGAGAAAAAATAGTTAATGTTTTTTTTATTCGATAATAATATATACACATACAATTGAAATCTACCCTTAGGGTCTTAAAAAGGTGGTGCAAAGTCTGTATGAAACATATATAACACTGATACCCCATAAAGCTAGATATAGAAATCTGACAGTAGCTGCATTTGATGACGTAGGCATCTACTATAAAATTTTTTGTGAAATTCAACCCTTATTAAAGTGAGGCGTTATCATGATAGTAGCGGTGTAATATCCACTACCCCACATCATTACGTGGATGTCGTAAGAAGCGACAGAGCTAAAATAATCGGGAGATGGTCAGCAGCGTCTTCTTAATAACTACTAAAAATAAAACAACTGCGGTTGTCAACCATCATGTGGCGTCTATGGAAATAACCGATGAGGCAATCTAATATGCTTATGTTCAACATTGGACTTTAATAGGCTGTAACGGTAACGTTGAGAGGGGGGGGGAATAGCAGAATAGCAGATTACAGTTTTATGAAACTTTTTTTTTGACGGAGCGATTGACTCGAGACATAATGAAAGTACTTTTCTGAGATTTTTCAAAACCATCCCTTACGGAGGGTCATAAGGTTATTAAATTTGTGATGTCGCGGCATATTGTATGGTACAGGGAGAAATATTGTAGTAGTTCACAGCAGGCAGTAAGTTCGTTTACTATGTTATATAATACCAGCAGGTCATGAATTTTTCTCCCGCTTTACAGAGAAGATATTTCAAAAGATACCAATCGCTGTTCGTAGGGACACCTATGTGAAATTCTACTACATATTGTGACAGCCCAATATTATTATTAATAATTAAATACAATATAAAGGGGGCATCAAAATTAGTCTTGAAATATATATATTAAGCAACAAAATTACATTAACAAGCATAAAGTTAATATAAATACATTTCGGACATTAGACCAATAACATAGTAAATTAAACGCAAAAAATATTGTCTTCCATAATAAATAAATGTATTATAAAAACTTGTAAAAAATATTTAAAACATGATAAACAATAGAAATACAAGTCGAAAATATTATAAAAATAAAGATAAATAACGTTTATAAGATAATTAGAAAATTTGTTAAAAATTGTCTAAGTTGTGGAAGGAGTTCATGTATAAAAGAAAATTTTCCTAAGTTATGGAAGGTGTTCATGTATAGATGTCTTGTATGGAGGAGCTGCCGGAGATACATACCTGTAAAAAAAAAGTAAAGTTACAGCCTATATACGTCCCACTGCTGGACTCAGGCCTCCCCTCATTTCTGAGAGGGTTTAGGGCAAGGAAGTGTCCGCCGCACTGCCCAAATGCGTGTTGACGAACTTCTCATGTCTTCGAAATATTTTTTTTCTTATTCCTCAGACATGCAGGTTTCCGCACGATGTTTTCCTTCACCGCCGAGCACGTGGTAAATCAGCACTTAAAATTGCAATTAACAATTTCATTGGTGCCGGCGGGGATCGAACCCGGGTTACTCGCGTTCTGTTATATTTACAGCGAGCGTTAACCACTGAGCTACCACGGCTCATACATACCTGTAGTTGTACATATATATGGGGTAGTCGGGAGCCCGACTGCTTGAAGAACTGTAGCACAATGACTAGTCCTATATTAGGGACTTATGATAATAAACTCAAGGATACAAAAGCAATACTATAGAAGGTCTCTATGATGAATTTGCATTACAATAGTGGGGTGGTGGGTTGAAGTCCTATATATTAATGACTTATGAAAGTAAGGTCTATGATACAAAAGCAATACTATAAAAGGTCTCTATGACGAATTTGCATTACAATAGTAGGGTCGTGGGTTCGAGTCCTATATATGAATGACTTATAAGATAAGAGTAATAATTCGCCATCAGAAAGGGTTTGTGTCACTGACGTTGAGTAAATTCATTTTCGATCATATTTGCCTCACCCACCAACAAGTTGTCTTCAATGATTCAAAGGTGGGAAAGTTACAGAGATATATTATTATGTTGTTATATAAACATAGTGTAGTGCAGACAGTCTGCAGCCCCGTAATGAAGAGACCCGACTTGGGCAAAGCTACTTAAGTGTGAGTCAAACCAAGACGCAGAGAGCGCCATTGAGAATAGCGTCCCACCAAACAACCATCGCAGAGACGCAAAGCTGCAGAACGCAACAAGCATCAATACGACTATCGTCGGGGTTACACCATCCCAAGGTCCCCCATACATCCCAGCAGACATTACCACCCGCATACCTCCATCGACCAGAACCACAAGAATTCGTCGAATCAGGCGCAGTACACCCGCAGATCCATCACAAGACGCTATACCGCAAGAAGCAGTAAGCGTCAATGCAACTATCATACGTATGGCACCCCCTCACAACACACCTACATGATCCCTATCGACTTTGGTAACAAAGTTTGTATTGTTGTTAACTAAAAAATATCACCAACGTATCATAGTAGCACGCTACTAAGACGCCAGTGAACAAAACTCCACGTATCATAGCGCTAATGCACTAAGACATGAAGTTGAGTATGCCTGTTACACTTAAAAGTGCTACCAAACACACTCATCCCAATCCGAAAGATTGACGACGCATCGCTATGCGCTACGACGTTGCCCACCAACGGTATGGGTGTGCAATGTCCACGGGAAAGCCGTATTGCTACAACAAACCCGCTTACCACCGGCACTAAGATGATAATTGTATACCTCCATCGACCAGAACCACAAGATGCGTCGAATCAGGCGCAGCACACCCGCAGATCCATCACAAGACGCAATACCGCAAGTAGCAGTAAGCATCAATGCAACTATCATACGGGTGGCGCCCCCTCACAACACACCTACATGATCCCTATCGACTTTAGTAACAAAGTTTGTATTGTTGTTAACTAAAAAATATCACCAACGTATCATAGTACCACGCTACTAAGACGCCAGTGAACAAAACTACCATCGGCACTAAGTTGATACGTCTAGGACACATCGGTTAGCGAGCCCAAGTTTACCTCGGACCAATTGCTCGTGAAGCAGCATACACGCCACCATAATGATCCTTTTTCAAGTCCCTTATAAAGACTAGTCATTTTGCAACAGTACTAAGAGCAGTCGGTCACACGAACACCCCATATAATGTTTGTGCATCAAGGAGACCTTCTATAATAATGCTTTAGTATCATAGACCCTACCTTCATAAGTCATTAATATATAGAACTTCAACCCACGATTCTACTATTGTAATGCTAATTCATCATAGAGACCTTCTATAGTATTGCTTTTGTATCATAGACCTTACTTTCATAAGTCATTCATTTATAGGACTCGAACCCACGACCCTACTATTGTAATGCAAATTTATCATAGAGACCTTTTACAGTATTGATTTTGTATCATAGACCTTACTTTCATAAGTCATTAATATATAGGACTTCAACCCACCACCCCACTATTGTAATGCAAATTCATCATAGAGACCTTCTATAGTATTGCTTTTGTATCATTGAGTTTATTATCATAAGTCCCTAATATAGGACTAGTCATTGTGCTACAGTACTTCAAGCAGTCGGGCTCCCGACTACCCCATATATATATATACAACTACAGGTATGTATCTCCGGCAGCTCCTCCATACAAGACATCTATACATGAACACCTTCCATAATTTAGGAAAATTTTCTTTTATACATGAACTTCTTCCACAACTTAGACAATTTTTAACAAATTTTCTAATTATCTTATAAACGTTATTTATCTTTATTTTTATAATATTTTCGACTTGTATTTCTATTGTTTATCATGTTTTAAATATTTTTTACAAGTTTTTATAATAAATTTATTTATTATGGAAGACAATATTTTTGCGTTTAATTTACTATGTCTAATGTCTGAAATGTATTTATATTAAATTTATGCATAATTGGTCTAATGTCTGAAATGTATTTATATTAACTTTATGCTTATTAATGTAATTTTGTTGCTTAATACATATATTTCAAGACTAATTTTGATGCCCCCTTTATATTGAATTTAATTATTAATAATAATATTGGGCCGTCACAATATGTAGTAGAATTTCACATAGGTATCCCTACGAACAGCGATTGGCATCTTTTGAAATATCTTCTCTGTAAAGCGGGAGAAAAATTCATGACCCGCTGGTATTATATAAAATAGTAAACGAACTTACTGCCTGCTGTGAACTACTACAATATTTCTCCCTGTACCATACAATATGCCGCGAAATCATAAATTTAATAACCTTATGACCCTCCGTAAGGGGTGGTTTTGAAAAATCTCAGAAAAGTACTTTCATTATGTCTCGAGTCAATCGCTCCGTCAAAAAAAAAAGTTTCATAAAACTGTAATCTGCTATTCTGCTATCCCCCCCCCCCTCTCAACGTTACCGTTACAGCCTATTAAAGTCCAATGTTGAACATAAGCATATTAGATTGCCTCATCGGTTATTTCCATAGACGCCACAAGATGGTTGACAACCGCAGTTGTTTTATTTTTAGTAGTTATTAAGAAGACGCTGCTGACCATCTCCCGATTATTTTAGCTCTGTCGCTTCTTACGACATCCACGTAATGATGTGGGGTAGTGGATATTACACCGCTACTATCATGATAACGCCTCACTTTAATAAGGGTTGAATTTCACAAAAAATTTTATAGTAGATGCCTACGTCATCAAATGCAGCTACTGTCAGATTTCTATATCTAGCTTTATGGGATATCAGTGTTATATATGTTTAATATAGACTTTGCACCACCTTTTTAAGACCCTAAGGGTAGATTTCAATTGTATGTGTATATATTATTATCGAATAAAAAAACATTAACTATTTTTTCTCTGGTCTCTCCGTAATGGTTTATATTCATAAGTCGCTAAATCCGATGCATTTATTTCATATACAGATACCTTTAATAAGTTTCAAGTCAATCGTCACGCAAAATAAAAAGCTTCATACGAACTGTAACACCCTATTGCACCACCTTAGAGGTTGAATTTTTCTAAATTCTTTCTTAGTGAATGGGTACGTTTAAAAAAGGCAGTTATTCATCGATTAAAACTACTTTTATAAATTTTATCGCGTTTAATTTAAATTATTTCTAATTCCCGACGTTTTGGGTGCTTTCCAGCACCCATGGTCACGGACGACTGAGGTGACTGACGTCCCGATGTCAATGTTAACCCGGAGTACGTACTCCGCTTTCATTAGCTTTTTAATTATTATTTATGGTCGGATCTACGCATAATGAACTAACTGTGTCTTGAAGTCTTGCAGTGGTATGCTTGGGTTTAGTTTTAATTTTATTAATTACAATGTCCCAAGCAGGTGATAGTATTCAGCCTCCTTTTTCCACTTTATTAAAATTAAGATGTTTTTTTAATTTCAATAGTCCTTGGTAGGAATCGATGTTCTTTATCAAATCTGATGTAATGGTTGGGGCTGCCAAGGATATGATCACAAACTGCAGACTTCCCGGAACGTTTATGCATAACTATTATAACAAATAGCACATAAGTCTTAACTGACACTACAAAAAACTAGATAGCTTTTAAATAAATTTTTCAGCTTTGGTCAACTAATTGCACATAGGACATTAAAAAATTAATATCCTCTTTTGTCAGTCCTACACATTCTTCGTAGGACCATCTTTGGCATCCTGGGTACTGTTGCAAGTCTTCGAGTTTTTCTTCTTCGAGTTACAAGCGTGACAGTACCATTTATCAGTAGCATCTATTTGACTAAAATCATTTATTTTTTGCTTTATTGTCTTGTTTCCTAAGTATTTTATTGCCTTTTTTTCATTTCTCTTGACTTGTCGTGATTTTTTAAAACATTCTTCTTCTTTGGCTGTTGTTTTTTTATTTGTTTTTGCATATGGCTGTTCATCATCTGTTCTTTTCTTACGTTGTTGTTTTGTATTATTTACTTTTTTATTAACGCTTTCTGCAAACGTATCTTTAGTCACTATCTGGACTTTTATAATTGATTGTCTTACATTTGGGCTTCTTTTGGTTCACCACAGCAAAATTCGGTGTTGGAAGTAACTGTTGAAAAGGAAACTTAACGTCTTTTTTGCTTTGGATCTCTATAGTGGCAAGTTGTCTTTTGAACCGCTTGATATTAAAGAGCTATCACATACTTGTCTTATGTTAAGAAATTGATAGCCTCGTTAATCTAGTTGTTGTAGTTGCAATGCGACTATTGAGCATGAGGTCCTGGGTTCGAATCCCGGGGTCGGGCCAAAATGTCAATTATTGAATTTTTCCGTCAAGAAATCCTCAGTAGCTGCCGGAGTCTAGAAGTTGATGGTGTCTCATCCCCGTGCCTCGGAAAGCACGTAAATCCGTTGGTCCTGTGCCTGATCTTTCTCCGGTCGTGTCGGTTTACCGTCCCATTGGATTATGAGAGTGAAAGAATAAAGAGTGCACCTCTGCTTGCGCATACATTTGGGCACTATAATCCTGTCCTGCGCCGATGGCTAGTCTCCGTTGAGACTGACCGCCATGACCGAAATTCGGTCTTGAGGACATTATTTATGTTATAGATGTAGTTACACGTTCTCTGTTTCTTGGAAGTATGTTTTTGGTCTTGATATAGGGCTCAAGCAACTCAAGGATATGTTGGTTCTATTCCATAATGGAAGAAACGCACATCCTAACTGATTGCGGACCCTTAACGCGCAAACGTAACACTCGTCAGGGAAACTATATACTCCGCCCAGAAGAAGTGAAATTGCTCATAGCTAAGCAACTTCTTCTATTCATTGAAGGCTTAACCGTGTCGCAGTGATACCGGTCTCCTCCCGAGACCTGCATAGCTGCTCGCACATAATAAAAAAATAGGGTCCATATTTTCATCACCGGAAGAACTGTATATGTCACGGATATACTGAGGTATAAGTTTTTGACGTGGAACAAGTACTTCAGTAATAGATGCATCAGATTCGGAGCTGTAAATTATCGGTTGCCTTATTGTTGCCTCAAACTTGCTTAGTCCTGTTGGTAAGTTTGAATTTGCAAGATCAGAATCCGATAAGCTGTAATCAACTAAACGTCTTTTTACCTTTGTAGTAGTTAAAGGCCACAATGAGTTATTCTGATGTAACAAAGATGGTGAACATGGATTATGGTCTTCAAAAAAGATCTTGTCGCAATCTAAACTATTAACTCCAGGAATATGCACTGCATGCCGTAAATTAATATCACTAGAACCTAGAGTTTGCGAGTTTTGTAAATACCGATAAATTGAAATAATACTAGTTTTTACGGAATTTATCGCGTATATTTAACTTTTTAATTACCCGACGTTTCGAGAGCTTTACAGCACCCATGGTCACGGGAAGAACTGAGATGTTCAACGTCCAGCTGTCATAGTTAACCGCGGTTACCATAGATTAAAGTTTTACTTTTGTTGTTGTAAAATGGATAATACCTACGTGCGCCAAATCACCAAAGTTGTATAGGTTACCAAAAATACACAAGCCCAATGCTCCATTACGCCCCATAGTGAGCCAAATCGATTCACCAACTTACAGATTGGCTCAACACTTAGCGAAAATACTCTCACCGCTCAGGGGACATACAAGAGCACACATAAAGGATTCCTACCATTTTGTCAGCGAGATTAAAGACCTACGTCTGGCAGACAATGAAACTATGGTCAGTTTTGATGTGCAGTCATTGTTTACATGCTTACCTGTTGAAGACTGCATCTCAATTGTAACTAGAAGGCTGGAAGAAAACAACATGCCCGTAGAATATGCAGTATTACTCAGACACTGCCTTACATCTGGCTACCTATTGTGGAAGGAGGAGTTCTACAAGCAAGTAGATGGTGTGGCGATGGGCTCACCTGTATCTCCCATTGTCGCCGACATATTCATGGAAGACTTTGAGGAGAAAGCCCTGCTTACTTCTCCCATTAATCCAAGTTTCAACAAGCGGTACGTAGACGACACTTTCATAATTCTACCTTTAGATAAAGTAACTGCATTTTTAGACCATCTTAACTCTATAAATTCTAAAATTCAGTTCACAATGGAGTTAGAGGCAAACAATTCCTTAGCTTTTCTAGATGTGTTAGTAATTCGGAATCCTGATAACACCTTGAGCCATACTGTGTATAGAAAAAAGACCCATACAGATAGATATTTAAACGGTGATTCTCACCACCATCCTTCACAGTTAGCTACCGTGGGTAAATCTTTGTTTCAGAGAGCACGAGGGATCTGTGACAGTAAACACCTGGCTGCCGAGCTCCAACATGTCAAGCAAGTTTTGCATGACAACAAGCTTCGGGTCCCGCGCCTACGTCACAGAGAACGAGTGAAGCCGGCCACAGTCGAGCGTGTACCTGCTGTACTGCCATATGTTAGAGGAGTCACTGACAAGATTGGCTACATCTTGAAGCGCGCTTCCATCAAAATATACCTCAAGCCGCCGAAGAAGATTGGTCAGTTTTTACCATCAGTCAAATGTAACGTCCCTCTGCAAGATGCAGGAGTGTACAAGCTTGATTGTGAATGTGGTCTCTCCTACATAGGACAAACTAAAAGATCCATTAAAACCCGCGTCAAAGAACATATAGCTGATGTGAAGAATCGACGCTCCGGGAAGTCTGCAGTCTGTGAACATGAACAGGATCGCCCCCGTCACTACATCAGATTTGATAGACCACAAATCCTCGCTAAAGAACACCGATTCCTTCCAAGGATGATTCGCGAGGCTATTGAAATCAAAAAACATCCTAATTTCAATAGAGAAGATGGCTGGGTGCTACCATCTGCTTGGGATCCTATAATAAATAAAATTAAATCCCAACCCAAGCATACAACTGCAAGACTCCATGATACCATAAGTTCATACTGTGTAGATCGGAACAAAAGTTAAATTTTAATCTATGGTAACCGCGGTTAACTATGACAGCTGGACGTTGAACATCTCAGTCCTTCCCGTGACCATGGCTGCTGTAAAGCTCTCGAAACGTCGGGTAATTAAAAAGTTAAATATACGCGATAAATTCCGTAAAAACTAGTATTATTTCAATGTGTAGTGTTCGCTTAAATATAAGAAATTATTATACCGATAAATTTCTCGCTCTTCAAAAATGTCTTCACATAATCTGAACTATCACTAGCAGGTCTTTGTGATGCGCTTCGTAAATTCATAGAATTAGGACCAGCTTTTTGCAAGGATCGATCGTTTTCTGTCATTACGTTGTCTACTCCTATATGTCTGTCAGTCAATGCAGATGGTGCATATGCTTCATCTGGTGTTGCATCTGAATTATAAGGATACAACCCTGTAGCTCTGAATCCACGTACTATATCTTTGAAGTTCATACAGACCAGACTACTAAAATGTAGTTAAATCTCGTTTTGGTTAGTTTTGTCTCTGGGTTTTCTTATAAATAAAGTAAGGGTTTTTGGTCTCAGTGGTGTTCAAACGATTTGTTTACGCTTTTATCTAGAGGTTGCAGCTCATGCGTAGTATTTGATGGCAAGCAGTATAATATAATATCGTGTTGTTATATATTATAGGTAATCTAAATGACATGAAGCGCCATCAAAAACTAGAAGACACCTGCCGGCCGCTTTATATTTTCTTAAGTGATGCATAAAATCTACAGACATTGATGAAGTCATGCTGCTTTATTTGCCATTTTCACGAGTGATCTTGCAGGCAAATTATCATTAAATTCCGGCTTTAACCTTTCCCCCTTGAATAATATCATTGGTGGAATCGGACTACCTAACGCATTTACACACGCAGCCACAGTAACATTCTCTGCGTGCTCTGGTGCAATCATATGCACTCTTTTAGCATCTTTCTGTACCACTGGCTGGTTGTGAATGGTGAGACGGCAGCCTTTTTCATCAATGTTGTATAAGCGTTGCGATGTTGCCCGATCTCTAGCTCTTCGTATATTTTCTTATATTTAGCGAAATACCGCATGAAAATAGGCTTGTTCAGCTTCTGCGCCCTTCCTGGGTTTAAGATTTGAACCTAGCGTTTTAATATATCGGGATGTCTTTTTAAAAATAATTTTCTTCAGCAGCCCGTCATTATAAAAATATTATAGGATAGGGTGACAAACGAGCACACAGTCCACCTGATGGTAAATGGTTGCTGCGGCCCATAGACATCTACATCTATCCTCGATTACAAATCAAAATGCAGATGCGTTGTCACCCGTGAGAACTGTGTCTCGTTTCTAGTAAAAAGGGTCTGCTCCGGTTCTTTACACTCACCATACAAAACAACAGCATTAAGCTACTATTTTACGCTGGTATTCTGTGAGAGCGTGGTCCTTCCCCGGTCGAGCCGACCCATTCGTGCTACAACTATACTACTAATGTAACTGCAGCATAGCTCTACCACGTATATAATAATATCATTGTTTTCTTTTATCGTCGTCTCTATTGGTGTCTATCTCGCCTTCCTGTCAGATTAAAATTATTGGGAATATTGTGTTGTTCATTAAACAGATAAGCTTCACGACGAATGACATTTGGCTTTAAAGGAAATCCTCTAGAAGCAAGCCTTTTAATTCCAGACGCCAAATTATTTTCTTGCTCTGGTGTTAAAACTGTAGACGAGCTATTTGTTTTTCGACTTGTCCAGATTTCAGATGGTTTACCAAAGATCTTCTGGGAATAGAATACCGTGAACACACACACATGTGTTGTGACAGCAGTCCTTGAACAGCAGCTATTGCAGCTTGTGATTGCTGAAGCACCCGTCCTCGACGTTTTTTAGTAGAAGGTTCCATAATTTGTTCAAGTATTCTGAAAAGGAAATAAATACGCTCGAGCAAAGCAATTAATGTAGATGAATTAAACAAAATTTACAATATAATATTAACACATGAGGTTGTCAACAACATTTTAAATTAAAAGCTCGAATATATATAAAAAAAATTGCGCCTATGTTAGGAAAACATACATAGACATTCCGTAAGTTTAATAAGGGCCGGCCCTACTAACCAGCCTTGTTGGTGGGTCTTATTAGAGTATTTGACTAATTTTAAGCTTTTCGATGTAAAATTGTTAAGGGGAAATACAACCTCAAATGGCTTAGCAAGATCCTCCGTTATGCCTAAAATATTGCAGCATTAATTTTGAAATAAATATATGGTAAAGTTGAGGATTAATGTTAAGTACTATATTAGACGAAAACATGATTCCGTAAAATTTTCTCGATAGAAAAAAAACCAAAGTTACCTCCAAACTGAACAATAAACCGCTGTTATTCATAAAATACTTTCAATAAGATCTTGTATCTTGATAAAAATTTGCATACTAACTGAACTAACTATAAAGCAGGGATTATGTTTTTTATTTTTTTTTTAAATTACCATTATTTTCTCTGTAAAAAGAAAGAAATTACTTTTTATTGTTTTTTTTAAATTACCATTATTTTCGCTGTACAAAGAAAGAAATTACCTAAACTATCGGCGTCTTGAAGCTTGTTTCCTGCCGCCCGGTTTCGGAGACGTTTTCTCGAGAAATATTGGCACGGCCGGTATATAAGGCATCACCAGTGCTATCGTCTGCATAGCAATGAATGTTATCAGTTTGCAATATATTATTGATATGCAGAAGAAACAGAGTAGGTGATAGCACGCAGCCTTGTGGAACACCCGCGTTAATAGGCTTGTAATCAGAGCATGCACCGTCTACTACGACCTTGATGCTCCAATTAGCAAGAAAACTAGTGATCCCATCGCGCAATTTCTTGAAAAACCCATAGGAAGGGAGCTACGAAAGAAGCGCTTTTTGCCAGACCCGATTGAAGGTCTTCTCTATGTCTAAACTAACGGCCAATGCTTCCCTCTTGGACTCTACCGTCTCCGCCCATCTATGAGTAAGGTAAACCAGAAGACCACCAGCTGATCGACCACGACGGAAACCGTATTGGCGGTCACTGATCAGCTGGTGATCCTCAAGGTACCTCATGAGGTAGCAGTTTAAAATAGACTCAATTATTTTGGAGAACAAGGAGGTGATGGCGATAGGCCTTTAGTTGGACGGGTCTGAGCGGTCACCTATTTTAGGGATCGGTGGATCAAAGCTGTCTTCCAAGAATTCGGGACTACGCCTTGGGAGTAGGAATACCGGAAAAGACGCGTTAAAACCGGTGCCAACTCCGGAGCACACGTTGCCAGCACGGTGGGAGGGAGCCCATCAGGCCCACTCGACTTACTGACGTCCAGGGAAAAAAGTGCTTTGCGGACCAAGCTGTGTAAACCGCACATCCAGCAATGAGTACTAACAACGCGGGATGGTTAGCAGTGTGTTCCCCCCGTCATTAAGAACAGTGTTGGACGCAAAAATAGAGCCTAACAGATTGGCTTTTTCCTTTACGGCATGGGACAGTGAGCCGTCTTCTGTACAGAGATGGAAAAGATGACTGACAGAAGTTCCCTTGAACAGCCTTGGCGAGAGATCGGAATGCACGGGTTCTAGAAGGAAGGCGAATTAGCTTCTCGCCAATTCTGGCGATGTGCTCAGACCTTGCCTTGGCAATTACTCTTTTGAAGGACCTGGACGCGCATTTATACTTCTCTTTAGGAGCCCTAGTGTTTACATCCTGAGACGTTGAAGCATCAGCCCAGGCCCTGTAGCACTCCTGCTTATAGCGTGATGCTATTTTACAGGAGCGACCAAACCATGGCTGGGATCTGCCTCCGATGGGCACCACAGAGGACGAAATAAAAAGTTCCATACCCTGAGGTACCACATCAGCGACAGAATCAGCAACAACGCTAGAATTGTCTGGCAAGAAGCAAACCCTAGAGTAGGCTGCAAAAAAAGACTGCATCTCATCCCAATCGGCCAACCTGTAGTGCCAAACACGGCGGCAGCCTGCAGAATACAACCGTGACGTTAAGTGACTGAAACCAGAATACACCACAAAAAAGTGGTTAATGGTCCTACGTGCCTAAAGGGCACATACATTGACGGAAACCTGATATCCGTCCGGATGAGAGGTTAGCAGAAGTACCAACAGGGAAGGTGTATATGGAATCCGCGTAGGCGCAGTAACCAGTTGTGTCAGACCATATGCCAAAGCAAAGTCATAAACAAATCTCCACACATGATCGGTTAAACGTGAACCAAGCCATTCGGCGTGGTGGGCGTTAAAATCGCCAAGGATCACGAACTCTGCGGTTGGGATCTGCTGTGGCACGGAATCTGTAGCTATTTGGACGCGGTCAAGGAGTCGGTCTCTTTCCGTATTACCGCTATGGGACCCGTAGACGTGGGGATGGTAGTCGATGTCTACGCGCAGCCATAGGATCGACAGGTCCGTACCTTCAAGACTGCCGAGGTGTCGAAGACAGATGTCCTCTCTGACGTATACGCAAACTCTAGCCCGAGCACAAAGGAATGTTCTAATTTGTACCCCGGGTATGAAAGATGGTGGATGAAGGAGGTATTATCTGGAGAGGACACCTGAGTCTTACCAACTACCAACTGGACACTTCGCCGTCTCCAGATGGTAGTGGCAGCGTTAAGGCTGGAATGAAGTCCGCTGTTATTATTTCTGAAATATGTATCTCAAAAACTAACTTTGTGCTTTATAAACTAACAGTCTTATTCATAAAAATCCACTAAAATGGCGTTATAACAGTGATGTAAAAGTATATTTAAGATTACGTTAATAAAAACATGTTTCTTTTAACGGTTTCCTTTGCTGCAGGTTGTATCTATTGGCTCAGCACCAAAACCACTCTATACACCATCTAAAAAACCTGAAAGAAAGAATAAAAATGAGAAAATGGTAAATATAATGACTTCTACTCTAATAGGGATTATGTTAATTTATGAAATTGTTTTTTTTTTGAGGGCGCAAGCGGCGAAAAGCCGCTTAGAAGTGTGCCTAACTAAGGCAGATAAGGGATGTGTTATGTAGGCTCGGCCTGAGCCGCCAGGAGGCAGTTCAGGTCAGCCGAAAGCTTGTTGGGGGGGGTCCGAGAGAGAGTTTCTCGGTCTGCGCACACTATGGTGGATAGGGGCTGCATAGGCAACTGTCTCACGAATGAGATGATTTGGGTGGGACTCTGAGGCTTTGAAAAATCTCTCAGAGAGTGATTTAAGGAACTGCTGGATTGTTGGGAGTTCTAAGTCTCGGTGTAGGTCGGCATTACGGACAGAATAGGGCGAGTTAGTAGCCCTACGACAGAATAGATTTTGAACCATTTGAAGTTCATTTATAACTTTGGGGTTGATTTTTTTAAATACTCAAACATAACTATTTGTATTTCAGACCGCAGATCATGCAGAAAGTATAGCCAATACTGAAATCCTGTGCAGGAAAGAGGTCCATCAAGCCCAAATGGCAAATGAAGAAAGGAAAGCCCGAAACTTGGACCTCGATGAGACATTAATTAAATTAAAAATTGAATATTATAAAAAAAAACTTCTAGCTCTTGAAAATAAATAATTTAAAATTAAAATCTGGAGCTTACTTACTCATACTCTTAATTAGCTAAAATGCCTATCGATAAATGCTCGTAGAAGAGTATTATTGGAGTCTCTTCCTCTGGCCTCACCAATTTGAGGTAGAAGTTCAGCATCTACAATTGTATTGAGTTCATCATGATCTGAAAATTATATTATTATTATTATGTAAAGAAATATTATATTCATGAATGACTAAAATTATTTGTGTGCAAATTACCTGGTACCGAATCCTGTTGTCCTATTGCAATATTGTGCAACACTGCAAGAGCCACAATTGTAGATTTCACATTTTTCATGTGTACTGTCATGCCATACAACAGACTTTGAAACCGCTGCTTCCACACTCCAAAGCAACGTTCAACACAGTTCCGAGTGGCAATTTGTGCTCGATTATATTTTTCTTCACGCTCATTTTGTGGTTTTAGTATAGGTGTGAATAGATATGGCTCTAATCGGTAGCCTGAATCTCCTAAGAGTCTCCCTCTAAACTCTTTTCTTTCAAAGCGCTCCTTAAGAGTCGATTCTTAAAGATACGGGAATCATGGGTACTCCTCGCCATCTGGCAACGATGTCTCTGATATACAGCTTAGCATCGCAAACCACCTGCATTAAAAAATTTAAAAAATATGTGAGCACAGTTATGTATGTAGGTAAAATAAATACATAAATACACTTATATATACACATATATATGTATATAAGTAATATGCCACCTGGCAAAGAACTGCATTGTATTATGATATGAACTTACTTGTACATTCAATGAATAAAATCCTTTTCGGTTTACATGACACTGAGCTGCATCACCACCAGATTTTTTTATTTTTATGTGAGTCAGCACAAAGAAATATCTCTAAGAATTACTTTACAACCCATTTGTTTGTACGTCTCAGAGTGACGAGCAATCGCGCGAGCTACTCTGGCACAAATGCAACTCACAGTTGGTTGGGTCAACCCATGAAGGTCTCCCCCATCATCTTGAACCTAAAACGGATAGGTACAAAACCGTTTACACACTCATATATGGTATTATTACTTGTATACTAGGCGTTGAGACTTACTTCACGACGTCCCCAACATCTAATGGTAGTTAACACCTGCAATTCTGGTAATGTACCACAACCCCTAGGGTCCAGTTGTAAATCCTACCTTACAAGATCAATTATAAAAGATGCCGTACGTTTATTGAAGCGGTATCGCTTTTTGAACTCTACATCGGGCAAAGAAAACGGATCATATCTCTTCTGGTAAACCTTACGACGACGATGCGGAGCATTTCCTAGTTGCTCCATAGCTTCTAAAGCTTGCAGAGCTTGCATATCGACACTTTTTAGTAATCAAAATCCACAAAAAACAATTTCACCAACAATAACTTAAACGACTTAAACAAAGAGCTGTTCGTTGCTGGCACGCAAGTGGGCCATATTTTTCTTTATTACAGGTTTATAGTAGGGTGGACCCTTCTATAACTTATGAAGCCGTTATAGAACACTTATAATGCGTTTTAAAGTTATTAAAGGTTTACGAATAATGTTTTACGGGTACCTCCTTATAACAAGCTAATAAACCTATTTTAACTCTTTATGAATAAGACTGTAAGACATTATTTTACTCTATGGCTAAGTATTTTCGTCTACATTGCTAGCCATCAGATGGGATAATAACCGAGTACCGATGGTACCTATGGATCACAGCATCAATTTACTCTCGAGTAGACTGTGTGTTCGTTGACATTCTTATTCTATAAAAATAAATAAATGAAGAATGAAATATTACATCATAAAAGATTACCTACGAAATCTACAATAGCTACTTCGTACTTCATCATTCCAGCCCTTTACAAGTCCACTGCATAACATCCCCCAAGGAATGCCACAAACCACGGTCCTGAGTCCCCTGCATCCATAGACTTCCTGCATGTCTTAACAGGTCGTCACTCCATATAATGGGGGGTCGTCGGTTCTACGAGCTATATGGCCGCCCCATTGCCACTTCAGCTTACTAATCCATTGGGCTATGTCGGTCACTCCGGTTCTAGTGCGGAAATCCTCATTTCTATGTTTATCACGCAGAGAAACCCCGAGAATAGCCCTCTCCAAAGCTCGCTGAGTGACCTTGAGCGTCCTCAAACGTCCAGCATTGAAGGACAACGTCTCAGATTCATAAGTCATCACTGGTGACACGCACTAGTTTTTAGGTTTTGAGGTATACCTGACGAGAAGATGTGTCGTAATTTCCCAAACGCTGCTCAGCCGAGTTGAATCCGTCGATTGACCTCTCGGTCGAAGTTGTATTTAGTCGGACTATTTTTACTATAAAGGTATACGACGGGTAACGTACCCGTCAACAACTTCGAGCTTAGTGCTACCAACAACTACCGGCATAAGTGTGACATGGGCATTAAACATGATTTTTGTTTTGTCCATGTTCATCTTAAGACCTATCCGTTGGGAGACTCAATTGAAGTCATTGAGCATAGTGCTTAGGTCCTCCAGTGATTCTGCCATAAGATCGTCGGCTAATCGAAGGTAAGTGATGTAATCGTCATTGATGTTAATACCATATCATTTCCAGTCTATTAGCATGAAAACGTCTTCCATTGTAGCGGTGAAGAGTTTCGTGGATATGTCGTCACCCTGTCTTACACCTCTCTGCAGTTGGATAGGTTTCGAACTCTGGTTCTGTATTCGGATAGCCATCGTAGCCCTACTGTACAAACACTTCTGCACTTCGATATACCGACAGTCAACTTGGCATCGCTGTGGGGACTGTAGCACCGCCCAAATTTCGACGGAATCCACACATCTTTGGTCTTCTGTACAAACTGCCGCAGGGAATATCTATGGTACTGAAGCCTTTTCGGAAACCGGTTTGTTCGGGAGGCTGTAAGTCGTCGAGTCTGCTTGAGACACGATTCGTAGTGACTCGAAAACAGCTCGTAGACACGGTTCAGACGGGAAATCGGTCTGTAGTTCTTTTAGAGAACGTTGCCACCTTTCTTGAAGAACAAGACAACTGCACTTCTGCTCCACGCCCCCGGAGTAGCCACCGTGGGGGACGGAATTGAAAAGCTTCTGAAGGACTTTAAGTACCGGTGTTCCACCCGCTTTCAGAAGCTCCGCTGTAATTCTATCCTGGCCTGGGGCCTTGTCGTTTCTACGTACTTAATAGTGTAATTATCTAATAATTGTTTTAGAAAAATTAAAGCAAACGTTTGAACTGCTAAAGTTAATTTGTTCTTTATGTAATCCTTACACATGATAACAATTAAACCTGAAATGAATGATAAATAGTGCAATCCTTAAGTAAATATGACTGATGTAGGTAACGTTTTGCCAAGACCGTAGTATTTTCACGAACTCTTATGTCAAAGGAATAAGATCGATAATATGAAATGCTGATTCATTGTTATAGATAACAGCCGTTCCAATTATAGTTTTGATTTGGTATAAAATAATCAAGGCGTATAGTACAAGTTCAAACGTGTGATTTCTTCTATGATTGTGCGCTCGCAAAATCTTAAAAACGGAAAATGGCGTGTGAAATACATACAGGTGTGAACGATGTTTTCACTAAAAACCAAATCCATCACATATTAAAGCAATCACTTGGGGGTGCCAGTTTTCAACTTATTGCTTGCGACAAGCGGCCGGCGGTGAATGGAATGGCCGGGTTTCTTGCTGCCCACTTTAGGGTGACTTTACACGTGAAAGTCAACGGGTTTGTTGAGAAGATAAAATTATTCGTGAAGACCTTGCCTGACTGTAACGCACCTAAAGTTGAGTTCATAAAGAAGTGTGGTTTTTTTGAGAGGGAGAAGCTGGGGTTTCAACTTTCCGAAGAAATGCGTGGAGCTGAAGGTATGTGTGATTTATTTGTATTTAGATGACACCAGGTTTAGTGTAAAATGGAGTTTGGAGAGAAATTTCTTGACGCATCTTTAACAGCCTTTCATATTCCACCACTCGGTAGCTCAGCGAGCTACGGAAAGGGCTATGCTCGGAGCCTCTCCGGGTGATAGACTTTGTATTGAAAATTCGCAGAAATGGTAATGGGCCGGCTATACAGGGTTATTTTGCAATAATAATAATAATCGGCCAAATTTGCAGAGAAGATTCAGAATAAGGAATATAGGCAAGTAGCAAGAAAAATCTCAACATTTCTGTCATTTTTAACTTTTAATTTCAAAATGCATGGTAATGCATTATTTTAACAGACTTTACTGCGCATGCACGCATTCGTAGATGTCGATCGGGAGGAAATAATGTTGCCAATCACATTAAATTTGGGATAATTTCAAATAAAAGTAGAAGCTTTTTTTACTTGTATTTTCAAACACTGCAATAAATATTTATATAGTTGAACTTAAGTTTTAAATTGGCTCCTGAATTGAAAAATAACCGAAGCGAAGTCTACGGCGATCCTCCACTAGATTCAATGACGATGATGAATAACGTTGGCGACGCACCTGTAATTCTTACAGTGTTGCTCACTCCTTTTTTAAAGTAGCACTAATTAAGTTAGTCAAATTAGTCTCCACAGACATTGATAATAATTAAAAACTGGACGGCGGTTGAATTTCATAGTTTGTACCGCCTGTAATCGGAAAATATTAAAAGAAATTTTGTTTTTCTTTAGCAGTTTGTAACAGATAGCTGCTGCATGGAGAAATTGCATTGTAGAAAGAATTTGCTGGAATTGTTACGATTGGTAGGCAGATTAAAGAGCACAACATAAAAGTACTCATTCATCGTCTTCTCCTGGTTTTCAGTACACCGCCGTACATGTAACATCACATAAACATTCACGCCTGTCACTTTGAGGGGTAGACAGTGGCGTAGCAAAGGGGGGGGGGCGCACCGGGTGTCACCTTTTTTGGGGTGACAACAATTACTCTTGGAGATACTAACCAAGACTGCAAAGACACTTAAAAGCCGCTAATGTTACGGTTACTGATTGGGTGTCTCTAGATTTTTAAAGTTTATTGTTGAATGGGATTTTACAGAATCTCTTCCAAATATTATGATTGCACTGAAATTCTACATGACGGTTTGCGTGTCCGTAGCTTCATGTGAGAGGAGTTTCAGAAAATTAAAATTAATAAAAAAACTATTTGCGAGCAACAATGACCCAATCGCGACTTAGCAATCTTGGTATATTAGCCATCGAACACGAGGCAATACAAAATATAAATTTCGATGTAGTTATTGCTGAGTTTGCAGCTGTCAAAGTTAGAAAGAAGAAATTTTAATTGTATAACAATTCCTTTTCTGTCTTAGTTATTATTGTGTTTTGTTATTTCTTCAATATTATAAATAATAAATGATCCATGTCCTTTATCATATAGAATTTATTGCTTTTTACTTTCGATGGGGTGACACCACCAACTTTCGCACCGGGTGCCACCCAAGGTAGTTACGTCACTGGGGGTAGGCATGGTCTACGGATTTACATTTGGCACGTGACACACCTCTCTCGCCTCCTTAACATCTATATACCTAAGCATACATGCTCGTCGGTCAAGGGTACCTACTTTTAATTTAGCCCATATATTATATATCGCCAATTTGGTCTATAAACTACCGTCTGGGGCGTCCCTTACTGACTATGCCATTCAATTATACGACATAAATTTGCTTTATCACTCTTTCCTTGTTCATTCTTTCTACATGACCAATTCACCGAAGCGTTTCTTTCTTAATCCTGGTCACAACACCATCTTGCTAACAACACTTTTCTTATCACACAATTTTTAAACCTGTCACTCAGAGTCTCCAATACCATTTATTTTTATGGAAGAGGAGGCAAACAAGCATCGGCACACCTCGTGGTAAGTGTCGACCGTCGCCCATGAACAACTGCAGCGCCAGGGGAATCGCAGGTGCGCTGCCGGCCTTTTAAAAAGAGTAGGCTCTTTTTTTGAAGGTTCTTAAGTGGTATCGGTCCAAAACATACATACAACATACTTCTTAATGATCACATTTCTGTAGCATTTATTCTACTTTCGTGCTTCTTACATCTTTTCGATAATATGCCTGCAGTGCATTTTAAAACGAGTTGGGATTTACTGAGTACTGACAACTCGACCCTTTCAGTAGATTTGAGAACTTGAGGTATTTCTGGTTGATGGCCATAGTCCACTTGCCCCCACCCCCCAAGGTCACTGCTCTGTGTATATGTAAACTTGATATTTATAGAAACATTTCATATATTCTCCTTTACACCCCATCAAACTATTTTTTACAAGAAAATACTTAATGAGATATAATTCCTTCTAGGACCGAATCCGTGGTGCGCAAAAGCATATCTGTACAATGAAAGATTCCTCGTGATGCCGGACTTGGCTGTCGAGGGTTACAGAACGTTAATGAACCAAGAAGCCTTCGATCTCAAGCACACACTGTTAACAACGGCGTCAATTGCGCGTTTCCACGCGTCCTTCGCTAACTATGTGACTAGACGTATGTTACACGACAAAAGTTTTGACTTCAGTCGGGAGTACTGCAATGTGTTGATAGAACCTATGTTCCGTGAGTCTCCGTGGTTACACGCGGCTGCCAAATTAACTGTGAACCTCCTCAAGACATTCTCTGATAAATTTAATCAATATCCCCAAGATTTAGAGCCTAAAATTTTCAAACAGTTTGTAAATGCCTGTGACTCCCTTAGAGAATACGAAGAAACCCTTAATGTGCTACTTCATAAGGATTTGTGGGTAAATAACATCATGTTTAAGTATAACGGGGATGTACCTACAAATGCTTTACTAATCGATTTTCAGTGCTTACGATTTGGACCCCCTACATTCGATCTTATGGCCTGCTTGTATTTTACCACTGTGAGAAAGTTTAGAGAGCGGCATGAACAGGAAATTTTACGCCATTACTTCACGATCTTCTCAGAGACTGTGGATGATGACACAAAGAACAGGCTGCAAGAATTAAATTACAATTTCGAGTCATTTATAGATTGGTGCGAGAGAAGTCGTATGTTTGCTATTTTTGAAGTAGTTGGGATTCTCCCATTCGTGCTGATGGATGCTCAAACCGCACAGAAGACCTTTGACGACCCAGATACTTATGTTAAGTACTACGAGGAGGACCGGACCGAACCCGTGCTCGCGTACTGCCGCGAGTCCAAGGTCTATATGGAAAGGCTACTGGAAGTCAACGAAGAGTTTGTAGAGCGATATGTACTAAAGCAAATATGAATATAATAGGGTTTTCAAAAGTTTTATATAAGTTAGTACTTTATAGAAACTGGCCATAAGTTTTTTAAGTCGGTTGAAAAAGAGAAAATGATTGGCGTTGAGGTTATTCAGTAACTACTAAGAGTCTTATTATAAAAGCTTTTAATTAATAAAGCTTGAAAAATAATTGTGTTTCGTTTTTTTCTTCCTTTTTAACCGTCAAAAGTCGACTGTTTGGGACAGGCCACTGTCACTGTAAAGAGGATTTGCCATGGTCATGCTTAGCAGACAGATTATGTCAGTCGCAGTATCAGACGTCACGGATCTTTCTCGTTGCTTCTAACTAAAATGGAGCACCATTTAAAGAAGTAACTGATTCTCTTAGGTCGCCACTACCATTTAAAACCTAGTTATTTAATTTCTTGTACATTATTAGTCCCCGACGAAAAAAGAGAGGCGTTATCAGTTTGTTGTGTATCTGTGTGTCTGTCTGCGGCATCATAGCTCCTGAACTGATGAACCGATTCTGATTAAGTTTTTTTTTTCGTTTGAAGGGTCTTAATCGAAATTTCCTAGCTATGCTCCAAGAAAATCTGCTCAGCCATGTGAACATCGTCGTCTATTATTATTTCTTTTTTTTAATTTTTACAACTAAAGTCCGATTTAAAGCTAGAAGTTGAATCAGCGCAAAATATATAATTATAATGTCGAAACACAGAAACTATCTCTAGTTCTGTACTTATTTGTAATGTTTATATATATATATATATTATAAATTAAAAAACTTTGGAGATATTTACAGCATTCGAGGATCTAATTACGTAGTAGTCAGATTGCAGCTGTATTATTGCAGAATATAACACAACTTATCAACGTAAAATATGGCATACTAGTCGTTGACATAGACTAAACACGTTTTATTGTTATCAATATATGTACATACATGAAAAAGAAGAAAGAAAACATGCAAAGGAAACATAAACAAAAATGTATATTACAGCAAAAAAAACTTTCCGTGAGTGCTAAAAAGGATTCCGACCGAGCTACCACAGTTTTTTTACGCACTCAATGGCTCGTAAGTCCTCGCTTACTAGTCTATTACGATAAAGTTGTTAAGGCCGGAAGGCCAACAACGTACGCTCTCAGAAAAAAAAAAGAGTGACTGATTCTTCTCTCAACACACAGCTCAAACCGCTGGATTTGAAAATCTGAAGTTTGGACAATAGCTGCAATTTTAAATCCCGACGAAAAGTGGGGCGTTATAAGTTTGAGCGCTACGTTTGTGTGTTGTCTGTGTGTGTGTGTGTTTACTTGCCTGATGTTTGATGTATTTTTTTATTTCTTTTTACCTTGGTGGAATCTGGGTTTTCACAAAACTATTATAAAAACAAAGAAATACATGCTATTATTCACATTTTTAGTAGCTATTAAGACCATTTCCAATTTAGAGTCCAATAAAGATTGCAGTAAATATATTATTAATAAGTATTATTATTTAGGGTAATTTACGTCGTTGCTCATGGTATATTATATGGTATACTGCCATAGTTGCCACGTTTGGCGAGCGGGTTGGCAACCGGAGTTTTTTATTGCTTTTTGCTGTTATCAGAAAGATGCTGCTGCCCACCTTCTGCCTTAGTTTCCCTCTGTTACCTCTTACGACACACACGGTGAGATATGGGGTAGTGGGTATTCTTACCCTCCACTACACTGGTAAGACATGCAGGAAGTCGATGGATGCAGGTGGCTTAGGACCGTGCTTCGTGGCATTCCTCGGAGGGGGCCTATGTTCAGCAGAGGACTTGTGAGGAGCTGTAATGATGATATGATGATTTAGGGTAAATACTCTGTAAAACTCTATAATCTGTTTGGCGAGGATTGGTTAAAACTGAACTTTTTTTTAGATGGATTGTATAGAACGAGTCTATATTCCTTGCTGACTGAGGACTTTCAAAAGTGTATGCAGAAAAAGACAACAAAATGATAGCAGGGGTATAGAAATACAATCTCTGGATGTTGAATACAACGGTAATGCATGGGGACTGCATCTAGGGACAAATACCTTATGTATTCAAGTTGCTCCATATAACTTGACAATACCAAATGGCTTATTTGGTATCCAGACATGGATCCTGACCGTCCATCCATGCCGTAGTAGATAGGCCTATATATATGTATATATATATATATATATATATATATATATATATATGTGTGTGTGTGTGTGTGTGTGTGTGTGTGTGTGTGTGTGTGTGTGTGTATGTGTGTGCATTATATTATATGTGTTACAAAGTATTTATTACTTGTACCAAAAACAAATACACAGTCTGTTTAAGTATGGTAACGTAGTTAAGCCAATTATTCAAGACCGCACCCTGCGACAGAATCACATGCTTCTTTAATGCTTAGACTGCTTTGTTGTTCGAGTAAAAATAAAAAGTCAGATATCTTTACACACACTTCACGTACGTTTATCATGTAAAGAGATTGAAGAAAATAGTCTTATCTAATGTTTCTTATTATTTAAACATGATCCTGATCTTCAAAAATATTAAAAATGGACATGTTTTTTAGGTTTAAACCTTCGACCTAAGCGGTCGAATTCGACCACGGCGCTATCCCATCAAAATTCAAGCGGTCGAATTCGACCGCGCACACCCACAGCACTTTAAACCATTAAAACTTTTATTTAGAGACTACTTTTCTATGAAGAAGTTTAGCATTATAAAATCAATATGAAATTTTCTATCCTCTAGTGCAATAAAAAATAGTTGTGTTATGGATATTTATTTATAATCCACGTTCATTTCGTACGCCATTTTTGCGTGAATGTTATTGTGTTGATTTTTGGTTTTTTCTAGTGTTTTATTAGTATTTTAGTATAGTGTTTTATTTTAAAATTGCAATGAAAGTTTTTGTGTGAATATAATTTATCTTTTTACGTAAATAATTTCGAGTAATATATATTGAAATAATTGTGATTTTCACGCTGCCGACATTCGCTTGGTATGTTTTGTTTTTATTGTAAAAATACAAGTCATTTCGTAATGAAATAAAACGTGACTTTTATATAGAGAATTTTGTATAGATTTTATAATGCTAAACTTCTTCATAGAAAAGTAGTCTCCAAATATAAGTTTTAATGGTTTTAAGTGCTGCGGGTGGGTGCCGTCGCATGTGACCGCTCGGGATTTGCCGGCGCATGCGACTGCATGAGAATTTTAAGGGGACTGAGGGGTTAATGGTGTTTTAAATGTAAAAAACTATTGTTGCTCCGCTTGCCCCGAGCATTTTTTGTTGCGAGTAGAATTGCGATCCAGAATACGCGCCTTGGCAGCCTGATCACTCATGCTCAGGAAGAGTAGGATAACTTGGTCGTGGATGTTCAGCAAGGGATTCTCCGTCACCTGGGGTGCTGGTACCCTCCTGGGGTAGTTCTTCTTTTAATTCCGCTGCCATGTAAAGGGGGGGGGATTGGGCCTCCGCCCCCCTGCACTCACCAATTGAAACGCAGAGGTAACTCTCTACTTCACGCTGGTATTCTGTGTGGTCGTGGGACCACCCCGGTTTGATCCGGCCCATCCGTGCGATAGCAAATGCTACCACTGTTAAAAAAGAGTGTCTGTATAAATAATAATTCTTATCAATATATTACTTTTTCTATATTTATTGTAATCTTAATAGCGTGTGGGAATTACGATTAATGAGTAATTTACATTTAAAATGTCTTAATTTTTACATGTATTGATTGATTAGTGAGTGTGAATCCCAAACACTATTACAGTAATTAAAAAATACGATTAAATTAATTCAAAAGATTACCTATACACGCAATGTGATGAACTGATGAATATTATGAAAAGGATGTTTTTTATACCTGTTATGTAAGGATAAGAAACGCAAAGTAGAATGCCACTGCATTTGTCACGTTCTGTTTTGTTTGATTTGTCTGTTCTGCATGGGTCACGGCACCTCCTTCCCATCAGGTGGACTGTATGCTCGTTTGACACCCTCATTCTATAAAAATAACATACCACTTACTATTCAATAGCATTGCTTAATTATGCCCCGCAATGGGCGATAAGGAGCTGATGATGAAATAGTTTTGCACCTTGAAAGTATTTAGTTTAGTTCAAATAGAGTTCCAATTTCACTTTGGGGTTCTTGGTTACATAGCTACGCCACTGATTCTACCACTTGATAAAGTGCAACCTTATGAAACATATAGGTAGCCGATTGATGCAAGTGGCTTAGGACATACGTGGCAGTCTAAGGTGGAGACCTACGTTCAGTAGTGGACTTGATGGGTTATAGTAAAAGTAATGGTGACATCAGTGAAAACCTAGTAACGAGGGGTTAGAGTTAGCCGTATAAATATCATATAAATCGTATTTAAGTGATGGAAAAACCGCGTGGTGGCAGTGTAAGGTTATCCACTACCCAATATAGTAGAATTAAATAATTTAAAAAGTGCCTTTCAATGAATATTAGTTTGCAATATATGTTGCATAAAATTATTCTATTCTTGCAAAATCGTTCAGTTCAGTTAGTTTAGTACCTCGCTGGTTCAAATTACTTTACGTCTGGTAATTTTGGCATTAATTAATGTGCTGTGGAGTAAAGGAATGGGGCTTAGTGAGGAGACCGCCAAAGTTTGAATGTTAATAATCTGAGGCTTAGATAGGTAATATATTTTTACATTATTAGGCACTCTAATCTTTATAAGTAACATATCTAAAATACCCAATGATGTTTCAGCATCAGTAAGAACTTATTATATAACATGGTTTTAATAAATAATCATAAGAACAAGAAGTCGAACTTAAGGTGGCCCTAGTCGATGGCACGAACTAAGTGGTGGGCGGGGTAAAAATGTTTTTATTATATAATAATTTCATTGATTTTTTTTTACCTACTTTTTAACCGACTTCGAAAAAAGGAGGTGGTTCTCAATTCGTTGGTTTTTGTTTATGTATGTTATGTTCCCCGATTTCTCGAAGATGCCTAAACCGATTTGTAAA